TTAGCATGTGAATTTTAGCATGCTTTTAATGTGTTATCCAACAAGATAAAAAAAATTTCCATATAAATTTTTATTTCATAAAAAGTATAATTTTTTATTTCAGAGACATGCAGTGAAAAACAGGTCAGTTTTGCTTGTGGCATTTGGTCTTCTTTCCCTTTTTGGTAGTAACCGGGCAGAACTCTCAGGGGCTGGAGCACTTGGAGTTCTCACACTGGGGGCAGCAGCTGGTGCTGGGTGGAAGGAAGAAGGAAAGGTAAAAAGTAATGATCATAATATACACACACACTAAGTCTGCTTACACACAATATTCTGTCAGTCAAAGTCCTATTATAATCTTACTTGTTGCTTTTATGGCTGAAATTTGATTACTGCAAGATTTGTGGAAACAACATTCTCTAGCTATCCACAATTTCATCTTAGAAACACCAACATCAAGCTAAGCCTGGGTGTTCCCCTTTTGTATTTTTTTCAGCCTAAAATGTTTCTAAGCTGTCCAATAAAGTTTTATCATCCTGGTCTTTTGAAAACCCTGAGCAAAAAAACAAAATGTATCTGAACTGCTTCTGGGATGATAACATGGTTTTCTTCTGATCAAAGGAGCTATTGGTACCAAAAAAATAAATCAAATTCTTCCCAGTTGTAATAATGTTGCTGTTTTGAGTTTTAAACATGCAAGAACAAAAGGGGTTATAGACCCCCCAAGAAAGGTGGTAACCCTGTAATGTAAAGTGGTATCCTTAAATATGTTGCATTTGCTTTTAATTAAATTCACAGAATTGACTTGTTTGTAAAAAACTTCTTATCTAGCTATGTTAAAACTGCTTTATCTTTCTTTCAGAGACCCATTGAGAATGTTCTAGCAATCCTTTGGACGTTTTTCCAGCCATTGCTCTTTGGCCTAATTGGTGCTGAAGTCAGCCTTGAATACCTAAATGAGAAACTTGTTGGTAAGTAAACTGATGATTGAAAAACCTTATGATTGATACTTTAATTCTGATTAGCATAATGGCAATATCAACAGAAGTGCAGCCAATAGAGCCCAAAGACTAGTTAGTTGATATATTGAGAGAAAAAGAATAGATCTCAAAAAAATACCAAATGTTCGATGCCATATTGTATGTAGCGAATATTTCTTGAAGCCAAGTTAAGTCAGCGTTTTTGCTGCAGGTCGTGGCCTAGCAACTCTTGCTGTGGGTCTTTTGCTACGAATTGTGGTAACATATGGTGTGGTTTTTGGAAACAAGTTAAGTGTCAAAGAGAAGGTTTTTATTGCTCTTTCATGGCTGCCAAAAGCAACTGTCCAGGTAAAAATTTTCTAACGTCTTCAGATTTCGCTTGTATATCTTAAATTTCTGAAATCATTATTTCTCTCCATAGTTCTTAGATGTACCATTTAATCATTGCTTTATATTAATATCATTTTGTTCAAATTTTTTCAGAAGATAATTAGATTTAGACCATTTGATGAAATATAACTTCCTCTGGGCAATATTCTCAGGCTCTAAAAAACCTTCCAATTTCAGGCCGCCATTGGGTCTATCCCGTTGGACACTGCACGGGAGCGAGGATATGCAGGTCAGTTTCAAGAAGAGGTCGGCATACAAATTGTTACTATTGCTGTTCTAGTCATCTTGATAACAGCCCCCATAGGAGCTATAGCAATCGCCATTGGTGGGCCTAAATTGCTAAAGAAAGAGCGAAAATCTCTGTTATTGAATGAAGAAGATCATGATTATAACACAAAGGGAAATATCTTTGGATTAAATTGTTTCTCAAAATAAAGCAATGAATATGACGATATATGTAAACGACACTGATTTGTATCATCCCGACAGCGGAAAAAAGAAATTCGTTTACACTATTTTAAAGCACTCTCTAATTCAAGGTTTGACTGATATTAATCTGACCGGGGGTACTCCTCGAGAGCTGTTAGAACCAAGGATCGAGATACCAGGGGGCCGAACTCAAGTACTTAATTATTAAAAACTCAACTAGAATAAATAAAATACTTTTATTTGGTAAAATATAGCTGTTGTTACACTTATTTATCAGGGCTGCCCCCTTCCCTAATTAAAAAGTTGTATCTTGGTCTTTGGTTGGAATACCTTTCATTGACAAATTGCTATACTTGGTCATCGAAATGTATTTCCCAACGAACTCATATTTTTTTATATGAAATCTGTTAACATGAAACATATTATTCTCATCAAGATGTTATCGATGCTCAATCAATGCTTTTAGATTAGAATGAAGTTTGATACTTCTAACACTTCATAGTGATGTAGAGGGTACAGCTAAATACGTCGAGTTATGATTTAATTGCTGCGATACTATTGGTAGACCTAGGATAGATAACATGTTACCTCGCACTGATTCTCAAAACAGGCCCTGTAAACAATCAGTTGTAAGTATGGCTTCTGAGATCACGTGAACGTATGTTTATCAGACAGTCAGCACATGACCCCTTGCAGAGGGCTCCTATTTCCCATGAATCGATGTTTTCCCAATGAAATAGGAAAGATCCACATGTTCTGCATGTCCAATCAAGCCCAATGTGTATTTTTACGAGCACTTGTAAATTATTCTATGTATAGATACCAAGCATAAATTCCAGCAGTTGATTTGTAAATAAAATAAGCTGTTATATCAAATCCTTTGATTTAATGGCTGTCTCTCTCTCTCTCTCTCTCTCTGTGATTTATTTGTTTTAGATCATATACACTGCCCTGAGTAGGCCTATTATTATCCAGTGTTATTTTCATGTACGAAGAATAAGTAAATTTTCTATTTTGTTGCGGATAATCTCAATTCTTTGCAACTTGAAATGTCCAAATAGGCTATTGCTACTGAAAGATTTGGAAATAGCGAAAAAATCAAAGATTTGCAACTTATGCTAGGTGAACTGAAATTTTCATAGTGATTTGCCCCTCGATAGTACACTATGCTCAGAGTATGGTTTGTTGGTAACCACCAATGGTAAGCAGAAATTCATCTCTAGCTGCCGATCGAAAGTAACGTAACATATGGATTAAAGCGTTTGATTGGATACTTAAAGGGCCTCTCCAGCCAAAATTTGCAATTGCATTTTATTGGCTAATCTAAAGAAGTTGAACCTGCTGGTCACGAATTCGTTATTTGTTTTTCGATATTTTGTACAGTTTGTAAGATATAAGGTCTTGCATTTCGATAATTGAATTGAATTAACCGACAAAAATTGTTCGGTTTGGTGACACTGTGACGCAATTTTGACGTCACAGTGTATTTCGTTAGTCTCGCCTCAAACCGAATCGAACGTCGGCGATTCGCAAATTGAACACTGCAATTGTTGGTACTCTCAGTTCTGTTCCACCGGCTTTTAGTTTGAGCATTTCAGGTATCAATTCTGAAGCCTTTAGTTGTTCATCGTTTCTGGAAAACAACTGAAGTGTCAATTTCGATTAATTATACGCGAGGGAAGAGCTGGAACAGGAAGCCGTAGCTTTGTGGGCCTACACAGGTGATCAAAACAAAGTCGTGACCCAGCATGGACACATTCCGACCCGCAAACTTAGAATAATTGTAAACATTTAATATTTTTCGATCCTAAGACCCCGTTTACACTGTCCAGTGCAAGTTTGAAACCGTGACAAAACTGTCGCGGTTCGCCCTTCCGTTTACACTAGCACTGTGGAACCGTGATATTTTGCTCTGCTATCCGGAACAGTTTGGACCCTGCTTTGAAAGCGAACCAGGGGCGGATCTAGAAATTATTCTGAGGGGTGCTAAAACTTAAGGCTTGGTAACCAAGGGTGTTGCTATGCACAAACTCCGTACCCCCTGCTAATAAGCCATAATGAAATGAAAGTCTCCCATAAACTAAAAGCTTCAGCTTTTATGCCAAACGCAATTTGCAGCTCTCCCCCTCATATTCACTTAGGGTACAAAAGTATAGAAACTGTAGCCAAATATGATATCATTGCCCGCAGTGGCAAAAGGCCCGAGCCCACAAATTTCCAAAGCAAAGTTCAATTTTTGACTCTTTGCAGCCATTTATTAGAACTTGATCATGGCTGGTGGAATGAAGCCCTTGAACTTGAAGTGCAGTGCACGTGATTAGAGACAATAGAACAATAGAAAAAAGTCGGACAAAAGTTAAACACAGGGATTCGAACACAGAATGCATGGCATGCATCGACATAAGATACCAAACTAAACAAATGAGGCCCTGAACGTTTCGCCTGGGCCTGCCGTTTTGAGTATTTTTATGAATCTTTAGAGAAAAAAGTATTCGTAGGAATATAAGTAGGAATAAGAAGAAAACCCCTTTTGGTCAAGAATAGTATGGGCAAGTTTTTGAAATGTTTTGTATGTAGTTCTTGAATGATTAACAAAAGAATAACAAGGGCTCGGGCGCAAGCTTTATCCTCTGAATATAAATCATACCTCATGGTCTATGAATAAGACGTGAAACACGCAGTTGAAACTTGAAACCGTTCTGTTATATAAACCAAAGCGTTTACAAGTTCTGCCGTTACAGCATCGAGCACCAGGTAAAGATCGTCAAAAGACCTACGAAAATTGCAAATTTGCACTTCACCTAAGCATTCGTCGCGTGCTGTATAATAATTCAACTCCCCCTGGTTAACCTCAACTCCCCCTGTTCAAGCTCAACTCCCCCTGGTCATAAAACCACTATACCTTTGACTGTAGATTGAAGCGAAGAAACTCCCCCTGGTTTGGTCGGTATTCTTTGATGTTTTGGATTTTGAAATCCATGGGTTCTCGCGCCAAAGTTTAGAACCCCTCGACCTGGCACCGTGATTGGCTAGATTCACTTCCACGGGTGCAGAAAATCGTATAATTTACAGGCCACGGGTTCCTCAAGTGGCTGGTTATAAGAGGAGACAATGCTTTCCGAGTCTGTAGAATGCTATACAGTACAACCAGGGGGAGTTTGATAACACTTCAATGCATGGACTGAAATAACAATGTTGAACAGTTGTGAGACGGGACATTGAAGCGGATATAACAATTTCAGGAGATGTGCATACTTCTCGGTAAAAGAGATAATAAATGGTTTAAATAATTATAAACAAAATTGCGATAGAATAAGCTTTAATCCCCAAAAAGTTTTTCCTCAAATCTGAGGGGTGCTCAAGCCCCCTTCGCACCCCTCTGGATCCGCCCCTGCGAACGAATTTTGTACCGTCACGGTTCCGTTTTTGAACGGGACAGTGTAAACACCTATCCGAGACGATTTTGTCACGGTTTCACAAGGAGGTCTTT